CAACCAAAGAGCGATGGCCTCCAACCTAAGAGTGATGGCCTCCAACCTAATACTAAGAGCGATGGCCAACCTACTAGCGCTGGCCTCCAACCTACTAGCGATGGCGTCCCTACTAGCGATGGCCCCCAACCTACTAGCAGAGATGGCCTCCAACCTACTACTAGGCAGGGATGGCCGCCAACCTACTAGCTGGCCTCCAACCTACTAGCGATGGCCTCCAATCTACTCGGGATGCCCTAGCGATGGCCTCCAATCTACTAGCGATGGCCTCCAACCTACTACTATGAGCTTTGTTATAAGTTGTGTAAGATATAAGTGTAGTTGTGTAAGATATAAGTGAAGTTGCGGAAGTTATCAAGTTGAAGATACGCAGAAGATACTAACTTCCGCGTATCTTCCGCGTAAGTTATGTTTTTTTCGTATTTATATGTTTTAGACGTCAGAAGCAGCGCTCGAGCAGTCTTTTTTTGAACTAATGCAGGCAACACACATCTGACCCTACAAAACACCACCAAGCAGCGACCGTGATTTCAATTTCAGCTTGTGGTTTCCACCACTTTTTTGCGGGTCCACCTGTGTCTCCTGCGGGTCCACCTGTGTCTCCATTCTGTCCACGGCGGTCATGTGTCTGAGATCTAGAAAGCGTCTCCACAAACAGTACTTTTGAGCCCAAAAGCTACATGTCCAAAAGTGCAAATTTCAAGCTACGCCCCGGGAGGCCGCGGACGTTCCGCGGACGTCTGCCCTTGTCTAATTTGATAAGCAACCAAATCCCCGCGGACATCCGCGGACGTTTCGCGGACGTTCACTACATGCCACAAACCTAACGTTCCCACAACAGATCCGATCTCCCTGGTGTGGGGTCTGCCGCACACGCTCCCACAGAGTGCCAGCTGCCAGGCAACAACTGGGAGAACTTTTCATAGGACTCCATGGCTCTGCGGCCTTTCTGTGCATCCGCCAAAGACATGCTTCAAGTCTTGCTCGGACACCAGGTTGAAAGTGCGTTTTGAGCCCAAAAGCCACTATAGAAATGCACAAATAGGCAGATTTCTACATGATATTGAAAAAGCTGTTTTCAAAGGTTTCTATAACTTCCGCGTATGTGCCGCGTAACTTCCACAACTTAAGTTAACATAAGTTAAGTTGAACTTATGCGTTGAACTTTTAACTTCCACAAGTTCCGGTGGAAGCTGTGGAAGTTGCGGAAGTTGTAAGTACCGTTGCATGTTCTGCAAGTGGACTTATAAATACACATACATGTTCCACAACCTATAACGAAGCTCATAGTAGCGATGGCCTACCTACTAGCGATGGCCTCCAACCTACTAGCGATGGCCTCCAACCTACTAGCGATGGCCGCCAACCTACTAGCGGTCAACCTACTATAGCGGTGGCCTCCAACCTACTAGCGATGGCCTCCAACCTCTAACCTACTAGCGATGACCGTCCACTGCCGTCTTTCAGGACATCACCTCGCAAAGCCCCTGCCCGACGAGACCATGCGTAACGCGCTGCTGTCTCGCGGGATCCCCTTTGAGGCGAGGCGGCCAAGGGGCTTGGCGGAGAGCCGGGAGGCCGGGCGCAGACTAAAGCCAGAGGGAAGATGACTAAAAAGGTTGGACCTGTCAGAAGGGTATTCTGACGCTTTCCGAAGGGTGCCACGTTTTGTGCCACTTTGACATCACGCCACTTGAGCGGGTGACGACATGGTGACACTATTCCCTTGAGTTTAGAGTTCAGAGCTTCTCAAGAGGCTCAAATATTCGGTGGATCGACCCACCAGAGCCGGGTCGCAATCGGAGCTTCTTGGAATTCGTCGGGTCTTTGTTGCCGGGAAGGAAGTATTAGGGAGGCCATCGCTAGTAGGTTGGAGACCATCGCTACTAGGTTGGAGGCCATTGCTATTAGGTTACCATATATAGGTTGCCCAAACGTTTCACGCATCTCCCGAGGTCTTCGACCCTTTCAGCAGCTCATGGTCGCTCTTGGCCCAGCGCTTGCTCGAACAGGTTGGGGTGCATACTACGTCACTGTGTGCTCCCTATTTTGCTTCAGCTGCGCAGTTCAAGGGCTTCCTGGATAGAACTACCCTCATATCCCTCGCAGTCGTCAGGATGGGTCGAAGAATGGCAACACCTCTTGGATGCTTCAATCGGGTGATGGGCGTTGAGGGGGATGAGCATTCCAATTTGACCCATTACCGCCATGACCCACAGCCAGCACTCGCAGCAGGCCTTGCCCTTACACCATTGCAACAAGTGAGCATGGATTGATTCGGACAAAATGCCAGAGCGCCCGCAGCCCCATCGTCGCATCCTCCTGTGCTTGGCAAAAGGGGTCCTTTTTTCAGGCTCGGAATGACCAGGAACGACCGGGGCACATATGCTGTATAGAAGACATATCATACTGTATGACTGTACATTATAACATTTGATATGATGATATATATGATATATGATATGTGATATGATATATGATATATGATATGATATGATATAATATCTGATATATGATATATGATATGACATGATATATGATATATGATATATGATATGATATGATATGATTGATATGATATATCATATATACAGTCATATATGATCATATATGTTATATTGTGCTTGACTCATTCCACTAAGTGAGACTGCTATTGAAGATCACCATCTCATAGATCGAAACCCTCTGATGTTCTCAACAAATCCCCTGATCCGAACACAAAGGAACACACACACACACTCGGGGATTTCACCTGAAAGTGTAAAGGCCAGATCTATTGCCTATACAGATGACTCATAACAACGTACACCAGGTGGATGTAAGGCGCCTCGATCATGCTGATGCCATGCTGTGTGAAGCTCCAAGAACCAGTTTTTGGAGAGCACAAACTCATTTGCAGATGAGCGTTCTCCCACACTTAAAAGTGAGGTTTCTGTGAGGATCTCCAAGCTGTCCCTCGGTTTTTCGCTGGACTCGACCGGCGCTTGGACTTCCCGTGGTTTCGCTCGAGGGCCACCGCAGGGTGGCCGTATTTTCCGGTTGCCCCCACAGGGGCGGTGCCGCGTCGCGCCGCGTGGTGTGAGCCTGTTTCCAGCCAAAGCTACAGCTGAAGGAGGTGGAGGGCCTTAGAATTTGCAGGTGGAACGGTGGGACATAGTAGCGATGGCCTCCACCCTAGTCAACCCTACTAACGACGGCCTCCAACCTAAGAGCGATGGCCTCCAACCTAGCTGAAGGAGGTTTGGAAAGGTCACGTGAGTGAACGTCATTGTTACGGAAAGATCTGGAATCTAGGTTTAGCAGCAAGTAGGTGAAAGCGCACCAATGCTTGCTTCGTTGTTCAGCCCAGCGCAGAGGTTTTTCTGCGCTGCTCCACCGGTGTCTTCCATCGCGTCGGACGCGCCCTTTGTCTCGTTCGGACCGGGGTCCGCATCATCCGACGAACGTGCGCGTGACCAGAGGTTTGACCGAGGGATGCACCGAGTGCGTCAGGGTGGAACATCCACCTCTGCACCTCTCCACGTCTCTGACCTTTTCCTCTCCACCTCTCCAGCTGGCCGTCCGAACATCTCTGAGGTGAGCCATGGCGGCGCGTCAACCAGGGAGACCCTTGCAGTCCCTGGGCGTCAACTGGAGGATCATGAGGATCATGAGGACCCTTGCATGTGGCAAGGTGGTTTGGGAATTCAGCACCATGTGTCGCTTTTTTGGGCAAAGGTTTTTTGACCCACAAGATCAGGTATATCAGAATCCTTCTTCAAACTCTGATACATTTGGACATAGTTCGACCAATGCTCGCTTCTCCACAAAATCCCTGTGCGATCCACATGGTCGTAGACCACCACCTACTAGCGATGGCCTCCAGCCTAGTCCACCCTAGTAGCGATGGCCTCCAACCTAAGTGCGATGGCCTCCACCCTAGTAGCAATGGCCTCCAGCCTAAGGTAGCGATGGCCTCCACCCTAGTAGCGATGGCTTCCAACCTAAGTGCGATGGCCTCCACCCTAGTCCAGCCTACAGCCTCATGCAGGTAGCGATGGCCTCCAACCTAAGAGCGATGGCCTCCAACCCAAGAGCGATGGCCTCCACCCTAGTCCACCCTCAGAGCGATGGCCTCCACCCTAGAAGCAATGGCCTCCTTCTCTCCCACGATTCTTGCGGCCTGCACTTTCGTGAGGCTGATCCAGTTGAACATGGAAGAGAGGAAAGTTGAGGTCAACGAAGATGCGCCCCCTGGCGTTGGACCGGACCTTTTTTGGATTGGAGAAGGGCCTAGACTCTAGACTAGAAATGACTAGAATGGTGGTAGACATTGTGAGCGAAAGAGATTGGAACGCGAAAGCGACCTCTCTCAACTGCTGGAGCCTCCGTACCGCCCCATGTGACACCACGCGACCCCCGGTCCTGAGGTTAGGCCGACTTGAAAAGCGCTTGAGAGAGCTGGGCGCTACAGCAGTCCCTTTGCCGCGATGGGAGTGAGTGCCAGGGTTTTGTGAGGGCTTTTTGGGTCATGGGAGGCCGGGAATGAAGAATATCTACCCTATAGTCGTGTTTAATTCGTAATAGGGAGGTCGTCCGTAATTATAGCAATCAAAATTTCTAGAACATCCAGATCAAATTGGATCTCTATATGGACTTACTATTTGCAAGAAAACACGGTTTAGGGTAATAAGACCTCAAGATCCAGATTGTTAAATTCAACTCCAAAAATGAACAAACATGTCGAGACAACAATAATGACTGCAGATTCTTTAGCATACAGAAAAGAGAACCACCCAACTACCCAAGGAGTGAATCTGGGCCCGGCACGATCATTGGTGGACGAGGTCGGATTCCCCGCAGATGACCAGTGATGACCTGACCGACTGTTCCGTGCGCGGGTTCCACGCGCGGAACGCTGCAGATCTACTCGTGCAGGTGGCGGTGGTGTCTGTCATGGGCGCCTTCCGCACCGGCAAGTCGGGTTCACTGAGAATGAGATGATGTCAGGGTTCGGGGCAGGAAGAAACGAAAGACGCGACGAAAGCGGGGGGTATCTCGAAGTGAATGATGACATAATATGACTTAATAGGTGGATTGGGTGGGTGGCTCTAGTCTTGTGCATCTGCAAACATATAATATTGTACATATATATATATAAAATATCTATAATAACTATAATGTATCTAGTCTAGTCCTATACCATGTCCTGTTTGGCCGCGGTTTCCTGATCGTTTCGTTGCGCGTGGCGGCCGCCCTCGCCTCAGGTCGTTTCTGCTGGACCTGTTCCTGCGCTTCCTCAGATGGGAGGCCGATCACCCCAGCGAGGCCGCTGAGGCGGCGCAGGCCGGAGCGGGCCCGAAGCGGGAGAGAAAGCCAGGTCGGAGGGGCTTTGGATGGCAAGAGTTGGTGCCCAGCGAACGGAGAAGGATGGAGAATGTAGGCTCTTAGGAGAAAGTGAAGATGGAAGGTGACTCCGGTGCATCATGAGGTTGGAGGCCATTGCTATTAGCATTTATCAGGTATGAGGGGGGAGGTCGGCCAAAAGAGAAAAGGAAGAACGTGCATTATCAGTGCACCGATAACGCCTCTGGAGTCGTTCTGGCCTGATGGCCTGGCAAGAACTCTCAGACACTTCGAGTTCCTTCCTAGGGCCCTAGGGCCCAGTTTTCTTTTTAAACGCGTGGGACATGTGACGTGGGCCGGCACCTGACTGATGGTTGTCCCTCGACTGCGATGGTCAGCAACTTTCGGAGAATAGAAAAAAGAGCACCCCCCAGCCCAGCGCCCTACTGTACTGCTTCTACAGCAAAAGAAAGGAGTCTGATGGGGTCTGACGGCTAAGCGCCCATAGGTAATAGACGTGCCCTTTCTGAAGACGACGAGAAGACCTCTTGTTTGGTGTTGTGAGGGTCGCTTTCAAGTCTGTGTCGTTTCTCAAGTGAGAAAAAAGGGTGACGAACCGGCCGGTTCGAAAACAAGGTGATGGTATTCTTGTATCCGTGCTCTAAACGATTGATTGGACGGAAACGATGAAACGAGTGATTCTTCAGACGGCGCACTTGGGACGCACTTCAGACAGCGCACTCATGGAGAGGTGTGTCTCTCCCTTTGTCACCTTCCTAGGCCGAGGCTCCAGCGCGGGGCGGCGACGAGGAGTTTCCGCTGCCCAGCTGGGTCCGGAGCGCAGCAGCTAGCGCGGAGAGAGGCGTTAGGTGTGTAGCAAGTGATCACCATGGGCATGTCTGCGGCATGTCCAAGATGAGCAACTCATAGCCCAGTGGCTCCTGAACCTCTCCGGGCCGTTGTACTGGGCGTTGGGAACCTCTTCGCGCTCAGATCACGGCCGCGGGCGCCGCCTTGGAGGGAGCCAGTGATGACTCCGAGGCGGGTTGGGGCGCACCACCAGGTGCCGTTGGCCGTTGCGGTGCAGGCGGAGCCGAACGTGTGCAGAGCGGATGGACTTGCAGAGTCTTCTTTTCGTCGACGTCCCCCCCCAAGTGCCGCACCAACGTGAAGCCATGTGAATCACGTGAGTGGTTGGGGAGATCTCCTTGGGATCGGTCTTGATCTGCCGTTGGCAGGGCTTCCGCTTCAAGGGAGGCATGGATGCCTGCACAGAAGGGATCTGGATTTGGCTTGGAAGCCCAGCAAAGTCAGATCTGCATTCAACGCTTCTGATGGATTCTGGTTCTTTGCGCCGGGTTTTTCCAACATGACATGTCTTGAGGTAGGGGGCTACGAATCTAAGACAACCCTTGCCTTACACCACCATACCTTCCTCCTCTGATTCTTCTCCTTTCCTTAGGTTGGAGGCCATCGCTACCCACTACTAGGTTGGAGGCCATTGCTACTTAAGTTGCGCTACTCGGTTGGAGGCCATCGCTACTATATAGGTTGGAGGCCATCGCTATCAGGTTGGAGGCAATCGCTAGTAGGCTGGAGGCCATGGCAAAATCGCTATTAGGTTGGAGGCCATCGCTAGTAGGCTGGAGGCCATCGCTAATCGCTATTAAATATTGGGTTGGAGGCCATCGCTAGTAGGTTGGAGGCCGTCGCTAGTAAGTTTTAGGCGCTAATCGCTATTAGGTTGTTGGAGGCCATCGTTATTAGCTTGCAGGCTATCGCTAGTAATTAACTATATATGGTTGGAGGCCATCGCTAATCGCTATTGGGTTGGCCACCGCTGTTTCGCTTTTTTTTTTCTTCCCTTCGTGTCCTTTCGTGCCCTGTTGATCCTCAGGTCCGAGCCCTTCATGCGGAAGATCGAGGATAGAGAGGTGGCGGTGCTGCTCATGGATACC